ATAGTTATGTAAACCAGTATAAACCTACCAATCCTATAGAAATGCTTGCCAGTAAGAATTATCTAGATCAACTCCAGGACACACACATTGAAAGAATCAACATGAACCTCTTCAAGAAGTTTAAAGAAGACACAAAGAAACAGCTTAAGAGAATCAAGAAGAAAGAGCTTAATGAAAATAAACACCTCACACCAGTAATCCCAGCACTCAGGGAGGCAGAGGCTGGTGTATTACTGTGAGTCCGAGGTTAGCCTGGTCTATAAAGTGAGTCCAGGACACTCAAGGCTACACAGAAAAACCTTGTCTCGAAAAACTAAAAAGGATTAACACCTGAGTGATGACAAAAAACAAACAAAAAAAACTGAACATAAGACTGACGAAAATGTTAAAGAATTAAAGACTTGAAAAGGAAATTCAATAGAGATAGAAACACTGAAGAGAACTTAAGCTGAAATGAAGACAGAATTGAAAAACTTAGGGCTGGAGAGATAGCTCAGAGGTTAAGAGCACTGGCTGCTCTTCTGAAGGTCCTTCTGAACCTCTTCTGAAGGTTCAATTCCCAGCAACCACATGATGGCTCATAATCATCTATAATGATCTGGTGCCCTCTTCTGGAATACAGGGCCAGACCACTGTATACATAAAGCTTTGTGCTCACTTCAGCAGCACATATTCTAAAATTGGAACTGATACAGAGAAGAAAAACCCAACAGCCCAACAAGAAAAATCAAAGGAAATCCTTATAAGTAAAAATGAATCAAGCAGAAGACAGGGTAACAGCTCTCAAAAATAAATTAGAGAATATACAAAAAAGCAAGGAACATACACAAAATTTTAAACACAGGAAAAGAACACAAAGAACATGTGTGACACCATGAAAAATCCAAACATCCTAATTATAGAAATAGATGAGGAAGAATTCCAAGTCAATGACACACCAGAACTTCAAAAATGTCACAGAAGAAAACTACCCCCAAGTAAGGAAAGACTCACCCATCTACAAACAAGAGTCACAGAAAAACACCAAATGGACAAGACCCCACAGAAAAGAAAATCCCCACAGCAAATCATATTTGAAACACTATATAGACAAAGAAAGTACAAGGGAAAAATCACAAGTCATCTATGAAGGAAAACCAACCAGATTAACAGCTGATTTCTCAAAGGAAACAGTGAAAGAGAAAAGAACCTGAAACACTGAATTCTAAATCCTAAAGGCCTATGTCAGTCAACCTACACTAACAGCAATTCCACTAACTATACTAATGTCAATACTAACTATGTACAAATATTACCCTGAAAACTTACCAGCCATAATTTTAAAAAGGAAGAAAATATTCCATCACATAAATAGCCTAAATATTTATATCCAAAAAACTGAACCCAAGGAAAAGTACAGGAAGCATTATTTTGGACTAACAAGATAAATGAACATAACAGAGAGACTGTGGATAGAACTGTCCTGAGTGCCTCCTCCTTGAGGACTAGTTTTCACGGAACCAGAAGGTACCATGCAAGCTTCCAAAGGAGGGGTGCAACCTTATAATCTCACCTACCTATTACACTTTTGAACAATATCAACAAGCAGCATGGCATGATAAGCTTACGGGTGCAGTGGTATATTTCTACCTGAATTATGTGCATTATAGTATTTGAGGTAAACAGTTAACAGTATGATTCCTTATGAATTTTTCAGCCATCTATACTGTTATTTTTACCTCCTTCCCTCTTCTGTATTTATCTTCTTTCACCTTCCCTAAGGAGCCCTGCCTTTCCCATTTCCCTTTCAGATTACTTAACTCCTACAATTCTCCCTTTTTTTTGTATTTTCCTAGGCATTAACCAATTGTTCTCTAATTATATTTAAGACTTGCTTAACAAGAAAGAAACCATCCCTGATACTGGAAACCTTTACAATGGTAGTGAAGTCATGGTTATTGAAGAAAAATCAACAACCATTAATTAATTAAGCTAGCATAGTTCCTACCAATAATCTATAAATATTTGTTCTCTTACCCACAGGTAAGTATAATCTTCACCCTGCATCAGGAAAATTTCTCTCTGAAACAGAGGGAGATCATTCCAATTTGAGAGGCTCGAAAGATGGCTTAGCAGTTAAGAATTCTTAGAGCTCTTATAGAGGACCCAAGTTGAATATCCAGTACCTAGATAAGGTGGCTCAAAACTGCCTATAACACCAGCTCTCAGGAATCTGATTTCCTCTTGTGACCTTTGAGGGAAACTGCACTGATATGCATGCACACTCCCCCAAATCCCTGCAGACAGATATACATATGTATAATTTTTAAAATGTTTTCAAAAGTTCTTCCAAGGAAGCTATTCAGGACACTGGTATTTAAGATCAATGCAAAGGGGGGTTGGAGAGATAGTTTAGCAGTTAAGAGAACTGGTTGCTTGTCCAGAGGTCCTGAGTTTAATTCCCAGCAACCACACGGTGCCTCATGACCATCTATAATGAGATCTGGTGCCCTCTTCTGATGTGCAGGCATACATGCAGGCACAACAGTATATACATAATAAATAAATATTAAAAAAAAATCAATGCAAAGACAGAAAATTCAGTTGATTTACCTCACCACAGAATTAAACTACTCAGCAAGAAATGTGTTTGTTCTTATGATAGGGATAAGGGATGAACTAAGCCCCTACAAAACTCCTGTGTTGAAACACTAGGCCCACGGCACTAGGAGTTAATGTTAGGTTAATGTGAGGCCTGTAGAGTGGGCTCAATTTAATCTAACAGGTCCTTAAAAACAATGAGAAATCTGTGTATGAATAGACACCAGGGCTAGGCACACACAGGGAAGATCCTAAAAGATTATACCAAGTAGGTTATGTTCCAACAGCCAAAGAGAGAAGATTCAAAGGATATTCATCTTGGCTGGTACCTTAGCCATCATTATCCATAATTGGAAGAAACAATTTTCTATTATTTAGCAAGATAAGGTAGCATTTTGTTAAGCCAGCTTGAACAGACTAAGCAGCTAGTGAGAATTTACCTGCTGTTAATGATGACCAAGGTAAAAGTGGTATTCCTGTACAGCTCAAGAGACCTGGACTTTCCCATCTCTCTAGCAAATTTATGGCTTCTCCTTCCCTAGGGGACTTTGATTACTGACCTGTTCTTTGTTATAGGGACATTGTTCTAGAAGTAGATATGTTATGCATTACTATCATTTAATTAAATTATTGTTCACTTCAGAAATGTGCAGCAGATAATTTAATCCACTCCATGCTGCTGGCTAGATAGGCAGTTTAGATTTTAAATGGCCTCCATAAGCTCATATATTTGAATACTTGGTTTCTAGTTGGTGGAACTGACTGAGAAGAATTAAGAGATGTGACCTGGTTGTAGAAGATGTGTCCTTGGGCTTTGAAGTTTCAAAAGACTCCTTCCATCTCAGTCAGTCTTGTGGCTGTGTCTCTAGATGTGAATTCTCAGCTTTTGTGTCAATGCAATGCCTGCCTGCGGCCATGCTCTCCACCATTACAGTAATAAGCTCCAATTCTATGAAATTATATGCCTCAAATAAACTTGCTTTTTATGCTGTTTTAAAATGTAATTATAATAGAGGGTTAAGCAAGACCTTTATTTATTTATTTTTTTTTTAAAAAAGGTAACATAATGAGATCCTAGCAGCACTTAGGAAAATCCAAATGCTGTGTCTTGTTTGCCATCATTGACAGAACAGCAAACTTCTTTCATGTGTTTGTAGCTACTGATTATATTTTTATATTTAACTTGTCCTCCCCCTCTCTCCCTTCTCCCCCCAACTCTCCCCCCCACTAAACCCCACACTAGGACCGAGTTAAGCCTTCTATGTGCAAAACATTTGCTTTAGCACTGAGTTCAATCACTAACCCTGTTTTCTTTTGAGATGGCCATTTTATGACATACCAAGAGACTCTGAGGAAATTCATGACATTACCTTTATTTCACTTATTTTTGTATCTGTAGGTTTGCTAAAATGCCTAATGACAACATTAAAATATGCTGCCACTTGGCCTGGTTAGCACAAGCATTTTGGATTGTCTTCTCTGAGAGGAAAATTAATTCCCTATAGCATGATATAGCATTAAAAACAGCTAGATTTCACATGCCATTTCTCAGGCAAATATAAGACTGTTGTTTTAAGTCTACACTCCAATTAGGTAGCAAAAGTACTCAAAGAATAAAAACAAAAATATCCAGGAGAAAAGAACGAGGAAGGGTATAAGAACGTAACAAGATAGGAGCTGTATCCACAGGTGGTCTGAGGCCCTGACACACGTGACCCATAGAACCATAAAGAGGTCACTACAGACCATAAATGACCACTAATTTACAACACTCTGGAAAGACCTCCTATGGAAGGTAACCTTAATTTTTAACATTTGTACTCAATCACAAATCTAAGAATTTAAAATGTTTATAGATGAAACTTTTTATAATAACTAATGAAGTTAATAATTAATTTCTATCAAAAGCAATAAAGTTGGATAGTTTTCATAGTAAAAACTAATCTGCCACACAAAAGAAAGCAAACAGTAGTATTATTGATACATTTTGATTCAGTACTGATTATTTATGCTCCTGGAGTTCAAACAATATTATGTTTTATCCATTCTTTTTATAGTTCCCTCTTAAATGACTAGCAAGGAAATGACAAATTAATATGTATTAATATAAGATCTCCTACTATATCTATTTTCCCAAGAAGAATAGAAACAAAAACGGTCAGAACAGAGATCACACAACATACCTCTTAGGCAAGAATCCTCAAGTAGTTGATTTTTCCTACTCCTGAGTCCAAATTATAAAATTTCTGCTGCCGGAAAGACACTTTCAGTAACTTCTCTCACATAAAATCTATGTTGCATCCTAGCTTTCCCCCCTTAGCATTTCTCTAATAAGTCACAAGAATTTTCATCATAAAAATGTCTTCCATATAAGGCAGATGTATAGCTGATGGATGCTGTACTCAGCTCTTCATACTCACCAAGGAGGGAAGATGTAAATGATGTCCTGGGGATGGCCCTTTAGGTGGTTTGCAGTCTCTCTGGTAAAGAGAACCTTCAGACATGTTCCCAGACAAGGAGCTATTTCCTTAGGAAGGCTGGTGGTTGGTGGCCCTGCCAACTGCTCACATATTGCAACCTGCATGCTGCATTCCTCATGTAGCTCTAGAATTTTCACGGTTAATACTCCAGATCTTCTGCCTAGAAGTTAAAGACAGAATAAAAAGAAAACAAAAAGTCAATACTTAGTGCACATGTTCTGAACAAAAATCTATCCCTGCTTAAAGTGCTTCTGTCAGATACTATGTGCCAGGACTAGGAAAAGTAGCTCATACAAGGATGTTCATGGCCTGTAGGGTATTCGGGGTATGGACTCACAAGGGTAATTTGGTTTACATTACAGTAGTGCCTCTCTTACAGAGCTAGCCAGATTACACAGCTTTTAACTCTTCAGTCTTCTCATCTATGAAACAGATCATATCACTTGCTTGTTGGTATAATGTTCTTTTGAAATGTATAAACCTTACCCTTGTTCATTCAAATGCTGATTTTCCCCCCCACACACACACTCTCTGGTTTCAATCCAGATATTGTGTTGTGATACTTATTCTAAGCATCCTGTCTCAACTTTGTGTAAACAGGCCAAAATAAAGAAACTAGCCACAATGTTGTGCAATGGGAGGAACCAGAGGGCTGAATTAAGGCTTATTCCATACGAGGCAATTCCTATCTGGTACTTTAACCCAGGGCAAAAGGCTGTTGATGGGGTATCACAGGCCCTAGTTGAGAAGAAATCACTGTTTCATTGAATGAATGTTATATGTGCCTGTGACATATATAACATTTGTGTTTACATCCATAGAATACTGCTGTTAGTGACAATTTTTCATGGACAGAAACTTCCTTTGGTTAATCAGATGTTTTGAGAAACTTATAATGACTCTAGTGAAGCTCCTGAGAAAAAGTGACTGTGGCTGTGGCAGAGAGGCCCAGTGCTTACCATGGTGCTTACCATTTCTATCACTCCCAAAAAATGCTTAGATGACTGTAAAAACAGGGACAGAAGGAATCTAAGTGCTGGAGGAAGGGGTGGACAGTTGTGTAATAATTCATTCATGGAAGGAATGGGGGAGCTCCAGAAGTAGAAGCAAGAGAAAGGAAGCTTTAAGTCTAAGGGACTTCATGAAACCAACAAGATTCACAAGAAGTAGAAAACAGTTAAGGGAGGGGACACTGACAAGTTTGAGTCGCCTACAGGAGACTCTCTGACCTGTTATGCAGCTCCAACACTGTAGCTTCCATTAGTTGTCACTAGACTAGGGTGGGCTTTTGGTGATGCAGTTGCCTTTGAGTTATTCATGGTCCTGTTTGCAACTTATCACCCATACTTCTAAATATGAACCCTTAAAACTAACTAGTTCGCAAAGTCAGACTTTGGTAGAATCACTACTGCCAGCACACATACACATATATATACATATATATGTGTATATATATGAAGAGACTGAAGAATAAAAACGGTGGTTATTCTGATTTTTGGCTATCCGAAATAAGAGTCCACTGACATGCATGTGAACTCAAACATCATTCTGAAAATTAATGCACAAGGCTAATTAAGAAAGAATAAAGACAGGAGATAGTGGCCCATACCTTTAATCACAGCACACAGGAGATAGAAGCAGGTGGATTTCTTAGTTTGAGTGCCAGCCTGGTCTAAAGAGAGTGAGTTCTAGGACATCCAGAGCTACACAGAAAAAAAACTGTCTTGGATAGGGTTGTGGGTCAGGAGAAGAAAGGATAATGTGAAGTAAGTTAGGATGTAAGCAGAGCATTTACAATCATTCTTTTATAGAGGATAAAAACTCTCTCACCCTGTCTTTTTTAAAGACAGAGTCTCAGGTAACCCAGGCTGGCCTCAAATTTACTCTCTAGTTGCGGATGGCCTTCAATGTCTATCCTCCTGCCTCTGTTTCTGAGGTGTGTGTGTGTGTGTGTGTGTGTGTGTGTGTGTGTGTGTGTGTGTG